TTTTATCCATAAAAGAAAAAAAATGTGTTCAGGATTTACATTTGTCAGCCAGGTTATTATAAAACTGACGAAAAATTTTGAAGACCAACTTAACCCCTGATGTTTTATTACATTTCGAAAAACAGTATTTCGATAATAATATTATATTACATGTGGTATTTCCTTAAACTAACTTATACATCTCTTTTGTCAAAAATTTGCATTTCCTTATTTCCATGGAAAATTAAGCCGGGAAGCCAAGAGTTCCGACTCTATTCTTTAATATTCCTGGGTAAGGCTCCTCTAAACCAGGCTGAATCACCAACTTTTCTCTCTTGGCGAGGGAGGGAACGCGCTACCAATTTTGGCGCGTTTATCGCACACGCTGGCTGAATGTCTGCTGTTTTTTTTTAAAGATTTATTTTATAGACGCGCGGCATTCAGCGCACATAAACTTTTCGGATAATTTATTAATTCTCGAATAGTATATAGACGTTTTCACTTAAATAAAAATTTCGCGTATATTTTGTAAACATATTCAAAATAACTTATTCTTTAGATGTTTCAGTTTCGTTAGCAGACTAAAATAAATAAGATATGAATAAAAACTTTCAATAGTGTCAAATGGGGAAATAGTTAAAGCGTAGAGTGTGCAAATAAATTTATCTTAATGACATTTTAACAAAAATTTCCATAAAAACACTGTAAATTCATACTAAAAAAATAACTTAAGAATATGTTGTCATTTTAGTCTGAGGTATATGGAAATAATTGTGCAAGACTCTGAAGAAACACTTTCTTTTAAATGTGTGAAATATTTCATAACATATATGGAAGAAGAAAGTACAGCATTCTGTGTTTTGGATGACTTTTCACCAAATGTAATATAAATACGAACTAGAAACCGTAATAAAAAGTCCTTCCTCTCCAATCAGATCACCTTTGTGTTGCATTGTATTTGTAATACTTCTAAAAATCCAATTTTTACCTAAATTAAAAAACAGTTATTCCATAAAAGATAATAAATTTGAACGTATATAGAATGAATTTTGTAATTTGAGTTATGTTACAAAATAATTCATAGTTTATATATTTTATACTAATAATTTAGATAAAAACCTGTCCAATTTAAGAATGTGTGTTAACCACATTCTTAAATTGTAAAAGGACGACTTAACCACATGTAATTCATTTCAAAGCATAAAAGAAAGCTTATTTTTTATTTTACACAGCAACAGCATTTTCATGCAGTCAAGTTTTTTTAATTGCTAGTTATTATACATAATACTTAATTTTTAACACATTCTTATTAGAAAGCATAACTAAGAAACTTCTTTTTAAAGCACCACAGTGATTGCAAAGAATGTCGTTAAATTTACAAAAGTATTGAAGATATATTGAACAGCATTATAACAAGAAAGTACTGTACAAAATATGTAAATTTAGCATAACTTCTTTTTTAGTATTTGCATAGTTTCCTCCAAATGAACCTTAATGGGAAGTTATCTTGCGAAAATTTAAAAGTATTAAAATGGCCTCTATTTAAGATGTAACTGCATTTATAATTATTTTGTAATTGTGAATAGATTATATTATTGCAATTAGATTATGCACTTACAACATAATTGCATAAAGTAATGAAATTAAGAGTTCACAGATACAATGTAATATAATTACAATGCAATTATCTAAATTGTAATTATAATCACTTATTTAATACCACAATATTATTACAATCACAATGTAATTTAAATTGGGTACTATATTTGTATACCCTCCACTCAAAAGGAGGTACTGATAAGCCTGGAAGTTATTATCAACAAAAAGCCTGTTCAGGACAGTTTGATGACAATTTCCACCGGGCGAAAAGTACATTCTTAAGCCCAGGCAAATCATGACAATAAAAATCATTTAGTCTCATGATTCACTATATTTCAAACCCTAAATTTGAATTCTGCACCAAATTATTTACCTATATTTTAACATACTTTATGAATTATTAGAAGCGATATGGCAAATATCTTCTAAAAATAACTGTAAAATATTTGTATCCATTAATTGATTCAGATACACACTTTTATTATTTAAGTATATCAAAATAACAGTTTCATGTTCCTGAAATACAAAAGTTATGAAAAAAGTTAAAGTAATATTCTTAGAAGCATATGATATTAGTCACCAGCTGCAAAATAGTTAATTTTTTGCCCTAAATACAAGTTTATTACACAGTAGTCAAATGTGTAACTTAATAACATGGTTATATAAAAAATTAATGATAATAAGTTTATCAGAAATGAATTAATTCTGCAAATAAACTTTCTGCATTTGAAAATTTTCTACACCTGAGGGGAGGGAGAGATCTAGTAAAATTAGATTTATTATAACTTCAGTTGGACCAAATACCTTCTCTCTCTCTATATATATGCATCACTAAAGAAATAAATAAAATTATCATGCTTAAAAAACAGATGTACCATACCAGTTTTTTTCCCCTTGTTACCCTTTACATTGAGAAATAACAAACAGTACAACGCTGAAAAATACTATCTTTGAAATTTTGTTTAAATGAAGAAACACACACCATCTTTTTATTTAAGCATTACACTTCAAAAACAGATACACATACCAATTTATTTTCACTAGCCTTTATACTGATAACATGCCATATAAAAATGAAAAGAATTATCCTTGAAATTTAGATAAAATGAAGTAACACAATGGGAAAATTTATGCACACGGACATCTTTTTTCTATTGCATGTTGTCTGACATGATCCACAAGTGCCTAAAAATGTACCCAAGGAAACACATTTCAATATTAACAAAAAATTGTTTACAGATTAAAATTCATTCATTTCATACCAGTATTATAAAGATCATGCATGAAACAAATCTGCTTTCCCATACTTTTAAGTAAAACTGAACTGAAATTTTATACTGGAAAATATGCTATATTTCTATATATTAGAAACAAGAAAATAATACCATAATAATATACTCATAGCCTAGCAGAAAGTAACATATATAACATCAAACACAGAAATTTATATACTCGTAGCCTAGGAAAAAGTAATACATATTACATAAAACACATAAATTATTTAATATAAAACATACATACCTTCTAAAATTATTTTACTTTTTGTTTCTTATTGGCCGATGCTGATGAATATGAAACGTTATGGGCTCTTTTGTTGATAAGATGCTGTGTAAGGCCTTTGCATCTAGTAATAAAAAAATTATCAATAATTACTTTCTTAAGATTACAGCATTCTGGCATGGCCACATGCGTACATTTATCAATTATTCTTTCAACTAATTCTTTTGTGATGGCTGATTGTAAACGAAGGAGTACATCTTTACATTTTTGAAATTCTCGTTCAGCTTCCCTACATATTCGATACATTCCTGAAGAGATGACCTTCAGTCCACCTTTATTGCTATGTTTTGTAAGAATTGTGCGATGCTCGGGTATGTCAGGTTCCAGCATGTCCTCTGAAATGGTCATAGCTGTTTTACAATTTTCACATATGCTTTTTTTTTTTCAACAACTTATTATATATGGCTCCTGCGATGTAATGTATATCATTTTCTTCCATTTTCTTCCACAGCTGGGGGCAAGCGACGTTTCACTGCCACTGCAGAAGAGGTAGATGGCACTACAGAATTGGAGATAGGATGCAAGACCTCCTTTCTGATAGCAACCTCTAATTCAGAAGCATCAAAGAGGCTGTGGTCACTTTCAGAACAATAATTTGGATTATTGATATCTGAAATGAACTGTGATAGGCACACTAATTTCAGTGCTCTCTTGGCTTGCAAAGCAGTAGGCTTTGCACCCGAACTTTCGTCTAATCTGTGAAAAGGCATTTTCCAGCGCATCTTGTGTCAACCTGCCTGGTAAGAAAAATGTAAACCCCTCGGAAAATAATTCTTTTGAGAGTTTCACAACACTCAATGTGCTCATAATAATGCCAGTTTGAAATGGCTTCCATGCTTTCCCAAACTGAACAGTTTCAGTCACATGAATGAATTTCAATAAAATATTAAATTTCTCATCTTGATTTTTGATAGTGATGCCTTTTTTTGGATGCCTTGTAGTCATAATTGTAAACCATTCTGCTACAAGTCTCAGCCACCATGCAGAAGTTAATGCTTCTTTTGCAACTTGGTGTAAAATAACTGCTTTTTCAATAGCAGCAGCTGTTTTTACAGAAAACAATTGCACAGCAGATGCCCCATTCATCGAGGAAAAGTGTGTTGGGAAGAGATGAACTCTGTTCAAGTGATGTAGAGATCTCAGGGCAGCATCTGCTTCTATCTCACTTGACCAGAGTCGTTTCACATACACTGAAGATACTATCCTCGATGGCAAGGCATGCTGGTGGCGAAATTCCTCTGGTAATATTATAATACTTGAAAGAAATGTATTTCTCATATTTTTAATGAGATGTGGTACATCTGCAATACTGTGAATGAAAACATCAGGTCCTCCAATGTTGTAATTTGTCTTCCTATCTCTCCTAGAGACAGACACATCCAATGACGACCACATTGCTCTGTTATTGCTTCCCATATCTGAAACAGAGGCTCTTACAGTTAAACCTATTTCTGTAGCTGCTACTACAGTTCTATGAATTAGATCTTTCATGTCAGAACCTGATGTTGAAGGCCCTGTTAATTCATTGGCAACAATCTGTTTCCATGATGTTTTAAGGCCTCTAAGCATTACAAGTAATGCTTAGCAACTGCAGCTTTCCTAACGTAACATTTCCAATGAATGACTTAGACAAAATCTTGATATGAATATTTCTTATCAAATCTATCAAATCTTGATATGAAGCTATTTCCATTTCGTCAACTAAAAGGCAGCAGTTCCTATCAAGAGCATCCAATGAATGAACTTTTGTCTTGAGGAAAAAAAACAAATTTTCTAAAATGCCGAAATTAATTTTTATGTCCCTAATCCTCCTGTTCAAGGTACTGTACGATGGTGCTGGATATCCAGTACTTCTGAGGTAATTATATCCATGTTTGCTCCAAAGCAAATCGCATCTTCAGTCCTTTTATAATGGACTTTTCTGACCAGTTCCTTTTTGACTGCACAGCAAGGGTTCCTACTTGCTCATCGGACAAAAATGATGTCAATTTTGCATCTTTTTCTTGAAGCTGTTGCTCAAGGAATTCTATTTTTTTTAACAACTCTTCATTTGAAGCAGGTAGAGTTTCCTAAATTCAAAAAGAAATAGTAAACATGTTATGCTGTGATTATTTTTTTAAACAATGGTTGGACTGAATTAATATATTTGTAATAACAATGATTTTTTCAACAATTTTTTTGGAGAATATTAAATAATTTACCACTTCAGTATTTGGCTTAGGACATCTTACTTCTCTTATCCTCTTGTCAGTTACAGATGGTGGTGGATTTGGAATGCTAAAGAGTGTTGGTACTGCAGTTTTTCTTAGTTTTTTTCTATCTTTGCATAGTGACTCAAATTGAGATTCCTCAAAATGATCCTGTAAATACATAAAGTAATAAAAAAAAAGTACACAAAATAAATAAAAGTACAAAAAACAAACCACACGAAAGAAATGTGAGAAAAGTGTTTCACACAGTGAGGTTGTGCCAAAGGCAGCAAGCATGAACTGTAAGTAAGTATAGGCAATAAATAAATATGCAGGTAATTAAATTAGGCCCAGTATTATAAAAAACTGAAACAATAAACAAACCATGTCTAACATATCAGCAGCAGCATCTTGTAAGCTTGGGCAGAATTTAATTATCCAATATTTATTTTTTGCCTATAATTTAAAGTGTTCTTTAGAACATTATCCAAAAATTAAATGAAGTAGTGTTTTGCTATAAAATTAAAAACAACTAAAATAAAACTTTATATTTCTTGCTATAGTGCTCTTACAATAGATAAGAAAATATGAGTTCACTTCACCCAACTTTTAAGATACTAGGCCGATAAATACATTTATAATTAGAGCAGACTATGATTCTTGTTATAATTGTAGTAATGTTTATTGCTTTAATTGAAATATTTAATTTTTAATTCTCTAATCATTCAAAACATAGGCCTAATTTCGAAGCACAGTGCCAACATGCATTTTAAAAAGCATCAAGGCCAGTTTAAACGACAATTTTTTAAATTACATCCCCACAGACATATCCAATTAAAGTTATTAAAAACTCTAGAACGTAGTTCAGTAGCTTTCTGAATTTGTAGGCAATTTCTTATTTAGAGATGACAACACAAAATAACGCTTCAGAAAATATTATTTATCATGTATAAAAATCTGCTTTGTAACACATATCAGTAATAACTGTTTATCAATGTCATGAGGATTTAATTTGACGAGATCACATTCTTTAGAAGTATCAAATTCATGAAAGGATTTTGGCTTGGCCTTTGAAATTCATCATTACAGGCAGATTTATTTGATTGTTATGCATGCATTAAACACTACACATGCATTAAAAACACTACAATTATTTTTGAAAAATACACATGCAGTTTCACAAGTTTTCTGTGCTTATTTGAATGTTCTGCATTCATTTCTAAATCTTTACTCCATTGCCAAATTGTATAATACTGTGATTATAAATATATGGTACTTGCAATTATTGAAGTCAGATTATATATATTTTGTCTCATACTATTCAATTTATTCTATTGACTTCAGATGTCAATGTCAAAATTCTGGAAGTTATTTTAACCAAGAAACATTAGTGGGCACCGTGCATAAAAAACTCATCTAACTTTTTAACAATAGTGATTATAAAATAAAGAAAAAAATTATATATCATTCCAACGATATTGCAACTATAGTATAATGTTACATATATCTTTAGCAAACATTCAGATTTTATCTTGACTTTCCAAATTATTATTTGTTTTTTAATAAATTTCAATATGCTAATGATTTTCATGTTACATTAGTATAATTTCCACAATTAGCACAGGAAAACAAAATTTGCGCTTTATATTAGAAGAGAAATTTCTTTTCCACATTCAAAACATCCACATTGGCGATGTTTGGCGACGGGTACATTAACCCTAGACTAATTTAATTATAGCTATTATTACAGAAATTAGCAGATACTTAGGTTATTGTACACAAGAATTTCACTTTACTTACACATTATAAACATCAGAGAAGATATAAACTCTAAATGAAGGCGTAATTAACATTATACTTACTAAGCAAATTTCAGCGCTTGGACCAGGTTTCCAATTGTCTCTTCGGCAATTATTTACCCATATTTTTTCTTCTTTCTTCTTCATTTTTAGGAAATTTTACCAATGTATGACCTTTCCGTGAATGATTTGAACAATTAATAGCTGCACATCCGCCCATTTTACACAAAAAAACACAAAAAAATTGTTGCACCGTAACTACACAGCCGCCATTTAATCTCCCACTTGGGATAGCGAATGCCTGATGATTCAGCCTGGTATATGAGCTAAAAATTCTGTTGCCCGAGCTTCTCCGATAAAAATAGGGTCAGAGAAAAGGGCAAGATTTGAAGATAAAAAGACTTCTATTTGTACGAGTTCAAAGAAAGAAAAGATGGACAAAATAAAATTTAAAATAAATGGTCCGAAAATAATAAAGGGGGAAAAAAGGGCTTATAAAAAGAAAAGGAAAAGAAGTAGAAAATATCCTAAAATACGATTGTGTCCATGAGTGTAGTTAAAAGGAGTTCGTTTGCAAAAATTAGTAAATAAATGAATTCCTACATGGTAATGTGTATGCCCTAATCTTGAGACCTAAGAAGAAAAGACATATATAATCACAGAGATGTACATAATATTTTAACTAAAGTAACATTAACTATTACCGTTCCCAAAAAATTCATGTATATTTCAGAAAAACAGTAATTGACAAATTCATAAATCCATACACAGTGTGAGAGCATTTCAGCAAAAATAAATTATACAGTATGTTTTTCTTAAATATTAAGTTAAATATAAAATTAATTTATTAAGTTAACCGTTGTAATTTATTATAGTACAAGTTTAACAAATTCCATCCCACTGTATTTATATTTGCTCATAATTCTATGTATGAGACCTGAAAAATAAAAAATCGAGGATCTTAGTTACAAAAATCACAATCTATACTTATCGATGGTCAAGAGATCCCCATTTTTGCTTCTCAAGAAATTCCTAAGCACGAAAGGAGGGGCCTCCGAAGGGTATGAATTGCTGATAAGAACGGACTACTGATAAGGAATGTGGCGTCTCTATGGAATAGTTACGAAGAAAAGAACCACATCACTTGCTACTATTACTAACTATTGTATAATGTTAGAATCTTATGAAAATAATAAATAAAGAAATTTAATGGCACTTTAGTGATAGAGAATAAGATATTGTATAGGGAACATAATGTTACTTATCTGAATATTCCGTGCCAGGGTTTCTTTGGGATTTCTCGTGTTGATAGTGAACAGCGAACAAGTGAAGCAAACAATTTGAAGTTTCGAAGAAGCGATGTTTCCTTTTTCAATTTGATGGATGAGACATTGCATAGGAAAGATGCATTACACTTTTTTTAAGAGAGTTGAAAACATTTCTTGAAACACTTATAAACAGCTCAGGATACTCTCTCAGTTCAAAAGTTGCAGTTGAAAACACAGAGTGAAAAATTAGGAACTTAAAACAATTAAACAAACAGAAAAAATTACAAAAACACTTTACAAATTAATTTGTAATATTTATAATCAAACAGTATCTTTTACTTTACAATTAATCATTACTTTATAATTTATTATTATTCTCTACATTTCCATACTAGCAGGCAAGCCATCTTTGAAACTGTGAATAAACTGCTTTTTGTATAGTGCAGCCATCTAGTGGCATTTGCCCAAGTTAATATTTATATGTCAACATTACTACCCTACCAGTAACCAAGTTAGGATGCAAGGAAAATGTGGTAGGAAAACCATTACTACATAAATTTAGACTCATTAATTATACCACAGTTTCAGAGCATGAAGTCAGTTTTATATATTAACATTCTAATATCATTAGAAAAAGAATATTCTGCATAAAACAGCATATTTTATACCATACTCTCTAAACATACATATTTAACACATAATATTCTTGGGAAATTAATATTTTTCTGGAAAACAAATAGTATTATTGAGTGAAATTACAGATGGAAAGAACTTAAAGGTTTGCTCCTAAAACTCATATACGATTCTAAATTTAAACTACAAGCAATATGAGTAGAATAGTACTTATTTATATACAGCACAAATTTTTTGATTTTCAATATGTTGCAGTGTCATTAACAGAATAGAGAGAAATTAATACTATCTCAGAACAGATAAGATATATGTGCACTACACTATATTCCATTGAAATATTCTAGCCAAAAACAATAATTATACTTTTTAAGATAGCTTATAAGAAGGTAATGCAAATGTTATGCTTATGCAAAACCCACTGCATTCCAAAGCACAAAAATGTCAACTCTTACTGATACATGAACATAAAATATGAAGCAAAATTTCTAGAACAGTGATAAAAAAGAATGAAAGTTATATCTAAATATATTCATGAGCAGTAGTAAACATTGCTCAATACCTACACCACTACCACTTTATGACACATTACAGAAAATACTTAAATTAGCAATTATAATATCAGAAATACAACATGATTGTGAATGAGAAAAATAAGAAATGCAATTAGCACGAAATGAGAAAATAGAACAAAAATCATAATATTTAATATTTACAGTAGAAAAAAATAATGTTTGAGTTGTAATACAGTTTTAAGTTCGAAATCTAACAGGAAGTTTTATTTTCCTACCACAGCGAGTGTTTGTTGGGAAAGTACTATGATTCAGTTTCTCTGAAGATCCATCACCTACATTATTATCAAACTTATTGGATATCTCTGGCATGCTATCTGCATTCATAAGATAAGCAGGTTTCAACCTATCAATAAAGATTTTAACATCCTTTCCGTTTATGTGCACAGAATAATACTTATCATGTGTTTCTAACACAGAAAACGGAGTGATAGGTTACCAACTATTTTGTTGGGATTAAGAGCTGCTATCAGAGATGGTACAAACCATTCTATTGCTCAAATAGTATATGGTACCAGTATCAGGCTTCCTTGTGAATTTTTTGAAAAACCCAGTGTCAGTGTTGAACCTGACACATTTGTGTTCAATCTTCAGCAGCACACGGCTCTATTAAAGCCAATGAAGTCTGCCAATACATGTGAATCGTATCAAAAAGTTTTTGTACATAAAGATCTAAGGACCTGTACTCATGTCTTCGTGAGAATTGATCGAGTGAAGAAACCACTCGAGCCTGCCTATGATGGCCCATTTTCTGTCTAGCAAGTCTGTGTAGCATTTTTCAAATTGCTTTATGCTTTCTTTGGTCCAAGGTACTTTGCTTTTATCTTTTTTCTTTGCTCCCTCAAGCATTTCATGTAGTATGGCTTGAGTTTGAGCAGCATCTTTCAAGTGTCTCCTATAAAAATTTACCATGCCTAAAAACGTTCTTAAGCCATGCAGAGTAAATGGTAGTTCATAATCCAGAATAGCTGACTTTGTCAGGCTGGGGTTGTGAACCAGATGGCGTAATGAGGTATCCCAAAAATTCAATTTCTTTAACTCCAAATACAGATTTTGATACATTTATGCGCAGGCCGTATTTATCAAGCCTGTCAAAAACTAATTTCAGGCGTGTTTTATGCTCATCTTCAGATGATGAAGCAATTAAAACATCATTCAGATAGAAATCTAGCCCTCGGAACACTTCATGCACAAATCTTTGAAAAGTAGAAGGGGCATTCCGCAAACCAAAACTCATGACGTTGAATTTGTACAATCCAAATGGTGTTATGATGGCTGTTTTTGGTTTGTCCTTCCTCAGCTATGGGTATTTGATAATATGCCTTGAATAGGTCTAGTTTAGAGACTTGAATAGGTCTAGTTTTTTTGTTTTCCCACTTAAGATTAAATGTCCTCAATCCTAGGAATTGGGTATCTGTCTGGAATGGTCTGCTCGTTCAGACGTCTGTAATCACCACAAGGTCTTTAAAGTTCCATCTTTTTTTGTAACTAAATGCAAAGGACTAGCCCACTGTGATTTAGATGGCCTGATTATGCCATTGTCTAACATAAACTGAAATTCTTGCTTGGCCAGATTCAGTTTCTTGGCATCAAGTTGCCGAGCACGAGAGTAAACCAGGGTTGTCCTTTTGTAGCAATATAGTGCTGGACGTTATGCTTCACTTTGGTATTCAATAAATTGGGCTTTGTAATACCAGGATACTTTCGCAACAGCTCAGAAAATTTTAAAGAATTGCACACTGTACTAATCGCAATATCTTTCGATACTGACATTACATCACTATATACATACATATTTGTGACACCATCAATTAATTTCCTCTGGCGAATGTCAAGCAATAAATGAAAACTGATTCAGAAAGTCAGCACCTAAAATGCCTCTATTTACCTTTGCTACGATGAATGGCCATTGGAATGGGCGATGCAGTCCGAGGTCCACGGTCAACACTTTACTTCCAAACGTTGGGATTTCAGTTCCATTAGCTGCATATAGCTTATATGAGGTGCAGGTGCTTTTAGATTTAGTGTCAGCTGGAATCAAGCTGATATCTGCACCACTATCAATAAGAAATTTTATTCCTGTTTTCCCGTCTTTAACAAAAAGACGAATTTTTCGAAAATTCATGTTTTCAGTAGCAGCAGGGCTTGCCGCTGAATCTACTACTAATCTGAGTTTTCCGTCTGCAGCTGCAAGGTGGAGTACATTTTTCCGGAAAACACTTTTTCTCAAATTTAAAGTGGAAATAGCACAGTTTCCCTTTTGGATTATATCGTTTCTGAGATCTGCTGCGACTCCTATGGCTATGGTTGGGACGACGAGTTTGTGATCTGGAACGTTGCACACTGAGTGAAGCTATTTGCTGCTCCAAAGCAGATATTTTATTGAAGTTCTTTAACTGGAGAGGCATCATTACTTTCACTTGCAAGTTCCATGCGTGGACCCATTTCAGCAATTTTATCAGCCATTGTGGCTAATTTTCAAGACTCTCATTACTGATTATAAGGCTATTTTTGACTGCTTCAGGCAACTTTTCCATGCAGAGAGTACGTAACACTTTATCAGACAATAATTTAGTACAATAGTACTAGGAAAAAAATAATAAAAAAACAGATGTTTCAGCGTTTTAAAAGAGAAATGGACAATGGACATCTTTATAGTAAAGTCTTGGATGAAAGTTTTACTGTGACTCAACTGGGGGAGACACTGGAAATTTATAGTGGAGGCGGGGTTCTTTTCTTCGTTAAACAGCTGCATTGAAGTGTGAAACGCTACCCCTCAAGTATATTTGTAAATTGGAGGATGCCTCAGAACAGTAAACTGAACTCTTATTCTAATGCCTTGAACTTGCTGTTATTCTAATGCCATTTCTCTAGTCTATGGCAAGAACAAACAGAGGTTTTTCTTTAAAATTAAATTTCAAAGTGATCTTATATATAATTCTTCATTATGAAGGTAAGTTATTGATTTGTAATATCTAAATTAATCATAAACTAAATTCTTATAATTTATATTCTTATAATTTTTTTTTTATATAAAGTTCAATTCAGCTAAACTTTTCATCCATTTATCTGAAAACTCCAAAATTATCACCATTAACAGTGCAAATGTCTACTAATATTAATAACGTATTGTTATATTAACATGAAATATTTTTATGATAAATATGAAATATAAATATAATCTATGTTTCCATACACTGAGAAACATCATAACAGGCCAAAAGTAAAAACAAAAATTTTTTAAAGACATCCTGCGCTATAGTGCAGATTCGATCAATCAATCAATCGGCTTGACAATCGAAAATCAATCGACTTGAATGGAGCTAATCAACATCTAAAAAGCGTTTCTATTAATATGCAAGATATGAGAAACAAGTTTGAAGATATTATAAAAGAAGTTGAGTTTATTGCAAAAAAAGTCGGGCATAGAAACTAAATTTGAAAAATAAAAGAGAACTAAAGAACCTAAAACACTGTCATTGTTAACAAATAAGGAAGTTATTAATAATGTTTCAAAAATACAGAAAACATATAAAGAAGACTTAATATAAATAACTTTTATTATTTATAAATAACTTTTATAATTACTTTCAGAAAAGAAATCGAAAATTTGAAATCCTTTAAGGATTTAGCTGAATTAACAATGGTAAAATATTATGACAAGGCAAGTAGTTATTCGGGAGTGGGCAATTCACTTATATTGTATTTATCATTGCCTGTAACCACAGCCACGAGTGAAAGGTCATTTTCACTACTGAAACTAATAGAAACATATTTAAGAAACAATATGACACAAGATCGGTTGTCAAACCTTTCACTATTGAGCGTTGAAGCTGAGATGGCTGAGAAAATAGACGTCCAAGTATTGATAAATAATTTTGCGGAAATGAAGGTTAGGAGACGCAAATTTTAAAAGAAAAAAAAATTTCTTTTTCGTTATGATGAATTTTGGCCACCAATGGCATTACACTTATTGAGGGAGGAAAAAATTAGAGAAGAAGAGCAGTACGGACTGAGGAAAATTAAAAGGAAACAGTAAAAAACTTATGCATTCATATTTTTTTATAAAAATCATGTGATCAAGTAGTTTAGTGTACCAAAAGGTTTTTTAAAAAGACAAAAAAAAAAAAAAAAAAATTACCATACATATTTTCTACAAAAATTGTATGCTCAAATAGTTTTCTTTATGAAGTTTATGATAAATATGTTTTATATTTAACAAATGTATCATTTACATTATAACAGTTCTTATTTATTACTTGTATATTATTGCAGAAATCATGATTGTAAGCTCAGTAAATCCCAGAGTACTATACATTAATGTAATAGCTTTTCTGTACGTTTATCAATTATCTTGTGTGTCAGTTTATAATATAACTAATTATTTATAAGTTTGCTAACTAAGCGAAAAAACTTAATAGGCGCAGATTTTACATAAAAATTTAAAACATTAGTATGTAAAACTTCTTGGATTTTATATAAAAATCTCCGCAAATCTGGGCTTTTTTCCTTTTCTTAATGCTATATGTCGACATGTTCCTTTTTTATATATATAGACTTATTCATTTATTATCAGTATGCATCTCAGTGAAAGGAGAGAAAAATATGTCTCTCGCACTCACACAAAAAGTCTTAAGTAACTGAATTAAAATCATCTGACGTCAAGTACCCAGACTAAAGCAAATTTTCATTTCACCAGTTGGTCAAGGGAAATTATTTTCCTTTTCATTGTTTCTTCATGTTACATACCTCTCAACTGGTTCCCTAAGAACGTGCTTTTATTTTTTAATAATTAATCCAGATGTAATAAAAATCATCATGAAAACATTGGCTCCTGGAATCCTTGATTTTTTTTAAACTTTTCGCGTTTTTATTTTTAAATTTTTTATTTTTAAACACATTAAATTTATTGGGAAAGGGGCCCAGGAAAAGGTTTTGCATAGGGGCCCAAGAGTTCTAGTTACGCCACTGTATGAAGATGCTAAGACATCACGCATCCCAGTAAAGAAGTCGAGCCTCAAGGTCGACTATGGTCAACCGAATGACGACGGCATGATCAAGATCAAGGAGGCGAAGCCTCTCAGCAGTGAAATTCCATACCAATCAATAGTTGGCAGTTTGCTGTACTTGGCGATGGGGACTCAACCGGATATTGCTTACGCAGTGAGTTTGATGTCTCGAAAGCTGAACAATCCTACAGAGATTGATTGGGAAATCGTACAGACAACATTAAGGTATATTCGCAATACCATAGGACACGGCATTGTGTACAAGAATGAAGATGATAGAAGTTTGATGTTCTTTAGTGATGCAGATAACAACAGCTGTGCATAAACACGCAGGTCTCGAACGGGTGTTATTTCTTTCTATGCTGGAGGTGCAATTACGTTTCGAAGCAAGCTACAGGACGCAATATCCAATTCGACGACAGAGGCAGAGTTCATGGCAGCAGCTGATGCCACAAAAGACCTGATATGGTTGAAGAGCTTGTTCAATGAGATAGTTAATAATGTCTCATTGCCTATTATACAAATTAATAATCAGAGTACTATCAAGTACGTCAAAAATCCAATGTTTCACGCACGCACAAAGCATATTGACCAAAGGTACAAGTTTGTACAAGATGAGTTCTCGAAGGGACGTTTTCAATTAGGCTATGTCAGAAGTAATGAACAACGAGCAGACATTCTGACGAAGGCGCTTCCAGCACCTCAGTTTCATTTCTAGAAGAAATTGATTCGTGTAAAAACAGTCCATGAGTAAAGGTTAATCTATATGAACAATGACTATTTTCATGCTCGAAGGAGGCTGTTGAGAATCGAGCATTTAATTGATATTATATGTAGTTTCAGTGACATCATTGTTTTATTGTTTTGTTATGTTTTATGCATCTGGCATCGCTATTATTTTCG